TCACAATACAGTATAATAGTTCTGGGAGTCTCTTGGCGGAGTTGCTCTGGGGGGAGGGTGATATTTCAGCAATTGCCATCCACACACACAATACAAGTGACACAACTCACACACACAGAAGCAATCCAGATATCGAGAGACTATTAGAGTCACAATTACAATCTATCATATGAGCCTCACTTTAAGCCGCTTCTAGTATGCGTACTACTGAGAGCTCTTACGTGCCATGAAGTGCTTAGACAAACTTCTCCGGTGCCCGGCCCCGTAAGCCTCACACATGGTCTCATACACAGAATAAACCTGATCAGAGTTTGCAAGTTCAAGCTCTTAACTCATTTACGTCTACGGCAGCGACAGAGGTACTTGCTGGCATAAGCTGCGACCGCCCTTAAAACAAGAATTTCAGACCCAGTGAACAATGAGATGAATGCCATCGTATTCTATAGGCGAACCGATACCCAACCGTGCGCCACCCCACCCCCCTCCAACGCCCTAGCCCCCCCAAAACGGGGCACTAAAAATGGGAGGGGGCGTAAGGGGGGGGGATTAACAAAAATTTTAAAAATAAAAAAAAACGTCAAAAAAAGGGTGTCGTGGGGCTGTATGGGAAAATAAGTGTGTGGGGTTGGGAAACGGGGGGGGGGGGTGGGGGGCGCTGGGGGTGGGGGTGGGGGGGGGGGGGGGGGGGGGGGGGGGTGGTTGGGGGGGGGGGTGGGGGGGGGGGGGGGGGGGGGGGGGGGGGGGGGGGGGAAAAAAAAAATAAAATTTAAAAAGGGGGGGGGGTGAAAAATACTCTATGTTCTGAGAGACCTTTGCCCTGAGGACCGTGTCAAAGTAAAGTTAAGCGCTGATGAGCTGAAAACTCGAAGACTAATCTTTGTATAGTGGATTTTAGAGATGTGCAAAGGAGCCCAGGAGTATGCTGGAGGTCGATCCTAGTCATCTCAGTAGTATAGGATCAAGGCCGATACCTGGACTTCGCGTAGTGTTTGCCAACATTTGCGGCATAGGTAACAAACGGGATGGGATGCTCTCTCTTGCCTCAGAGCTAAGCCTAAACGGAATAGACTTGACCGAGACCTGGCTATCTTCGGATGCTCCTGATGGCGTTTTTCCTGTCCCCGGTTACCAGCTTCCCAGAGCTGCTGTCCATGGAACGAAGACTAAATACATAAATAAATAAAACCTTTATTCTCAACTAAATGAGGCACACCTATATAAGCAAGACCCGTGGGCGTGATGCCTTTTACTTGAGCACCGCTCTTAAAGTGCACACTAACGAAGCGATTAGCTATGGCGGTACCGAAATTTTATGGTGTCGGATTCACGACAGATGGAAACCCCCTACATGTGGCTTAGTGTACAGGGCCCCATCCGGTAACGGTAATTGTGTGCTGGACGTATTCAAGAACCATCAGAGGGAAAGGAAATACCTAATTCTGGGTGATTACCATACGCCGGATATTGACTGCCACCTGTTTCTCTGTGGGCGTTCTCCCACACCGTATGATGCTGGCCTTCTTGGAGTAGTCCTCGATAACAACTTATCGGAACATGTCTTTACGCCTACAAGAACACTTACGGGCCAGCCAAGGCATCTTCTCGATCTGGTACCTACACCAGTATGGTTTGACCTTGCTGAACTAACTACGCTGCCTCCAGTTGGCCATAGCGATCACTGTACCCTCAACCTCACGCGGACGCGACGTCTTAGCACTTCTGACCAAGGAGTCTATCGCCGCTATTTATGGCACTCTGACCCATCCCCCCTTAGAGGGGCGGCTACAAGTTTGACTGGAACGTGCCGCATGATCCGTAACTAAGTTGTGTCTGCAATCTATTGCGCTCAAAAATGAACTTGCTGATTGTACGTGTAGTCCTAAGCATCAAACGACGGCTTTTTGTGAGGTCCTCACTGGCTTGTTCGAGAACTACAGACTCTACTGAACTACCAACGTAAAGTGCGGGATTGAATCAGGTTCTCGCAAGTTGCCTCGCATTATACCCACTAAAAGAGGTTAGAATCCGCTTCACTAAAGAAGTATGAGCAGTGGCATCATCATGCTCGGTGGGTGGCTGAAAAATCCCTGTCTAAACCAAAAAGCTCTAGAAGTAGATTAACATAAGGATCAAGGATAGCTGTGACATACCCGCGCTGTTTCCCCAAACAAGCAAATTAACGCTGTACGAGGAGGACGCGAAAGCGGATCTTCCGGCAAGGCAGTACGTTACCGTGTATTTGTTAGAAGTTCAGTCTTCCAACAGCTCCGAGTGTAAACCTTCCCATAGTTTGCATCAAAGCAAACTTAACGCGGTAACGATTAGGAAACTCCTACTAGAGCTAGATCCAAACTCATGACCGAGCCCAGACGGAATTCTGCCACCATTCCACAAGACAGTGGCTGCATCCGTGTATTGCATCTGTCTCTAAAAATGTTCATTTAACGGTCCACTGAAAAACAAGTTTCGTGATGCCAAAGCACAAAGACGGTTAGCGTCAAGGTCCAGTGAACATCCATAGTCTGCGGGCTTATGGAAAAGGTTATTAAAGCAGTGCTGTATCCAACATCACCCCCTCTACACAGCAGGAATTTCAGAAGCGACGCGCTTGCAAAACTAATCCGCTAGTTCCCAGAAAAGTTCAAAGGATATCAATCGATGCTGGTCAAAGCTTAGACACTGTCTTCCTTGATGTTGCCTAAGCATTTGGTAAGGCCTCAAATCAAAGCAACACTGCAAGCTCCGCGAAATTGGAGTCAGTGGCAACCTTTACACCTGGATAGCGGATTTCCTAGACGGAAACGTCATGCGGGCGAAGGTAAAAGGTGCAGTGTCTCAGCCAGTGCACATGAGCGATCGCGCTCCGCAGGCATTTTTAAGTGGGTCTGGACTTTTCAAGCTCTTTCTAAGCTACCATCCTGGATTACTTCAAGATGTATATCTAAACTATGCAGGTGACCTTAAGCGTTTGTCGGAGGCACCCAAACCTCCTTCCACTGATGGACCATAGGACTTGCTTTATGTAGCGCATCAAATAGGGCTTACCCATCAAGTATGAAAAAGGCTGTTATTCCATTAGTCGCGTCTGATCCACCCGATACCTATCATATTTGTGGTTTCCTTCTCAAAAATGCTGTTCGAGGGAAAGACAGGTGTAATAATTGCCGCCAAATGAAAGACTACCCCAGCTACGCTGTAAAGACTGGCCGTGGCTAACATGGTATGCTGCGCCTTTAGATGGCCATTCTTCCGAATGACGCCTGTTAGCTTCAGGACCCGGGTTGGTTGCCACGTACGCCCAAGTTTCGAGTAGGGCTTGTCAGCCGTTTTGCCACGCACAAAAAGGAATGAACCGTGATTAAAATGCTCCAGAGACGTGGCTCGAATTTTGTCTCCGGACTTCAAATCCTCTCCTACTCCCTTCGACGCTAAAAGATGGACCTTTTGTCCATGGACGACAGCCGCCTCCGCGCGACCGCGTCTTCATCGGGCGTGTACTAAAGGGGAACTTGGAAACGAACAACAACAGCTTTTCAAGCTAAGTACAGGAGTTTCGACACGTGGTCTCGAGACAACACTCTTTAAACCGAGGTAGGTCCATGTTTACACTGCGGTCGCGGGGTGATAAACGTCTTGAACCGCCTTCCGCCAAGCGTTAGCAGTGCGAAACCTGAGGAGTGTTTTAATCGGCCAGTAGGCTTTCATCAATGTAAGACCTTATGATCGCAGCTTTACTGGGACTTCTCCAGCCCACTAGGACTGCTGGCTGCAATGACACATGTTTCTGTTCTGAACCGCAAGCGATGGGGCTGACACGGGATCTCCCTTTGGCATCAACAACTCAAAGAGCGCAATACACAGTGGTGTCTGTAGCTGCGTTACAAACTTTTTATGGAGCCTAAACGAAGTGTGACTATGGTCGACTTCTCTCTGCTTCAAGCTAACGGGTTGCAAACCTTGTTCATGTGCCAAAAGTTTAGGTGACGTTTGCCGACAAGCTTTCCGATTATTTTCTGCCTAATAAACCGTTTTACCTTCGGTTTAACCTATATGCTATTCGTCGTTTCACTGCGTATACGCGTTAAAATTCTGCTGCCTTCTACGTAATAACGTCTGTCTCATGCGGGTGTAGAGGCTAATGCCACTTGCTGGAGCGCAGGCTATGCGTTGCTGGTGACGATTCTGGCGTCATGAAATGCGACGACTTTAACAGCTGGTAGCAGCAGCACTGCATAGATCTGACTGCTGAACCACACGTCATACTGTCAACCAGCGTCCGTTATCGTAGACGCTGACTGGGTCGTCCGGGGTTCCTTGGTAGAGGCGTCGAAAACCTTGATCGCAGACTACAACAAGTAGAGTTTACAGTCCCAGTGGTGACCACTGTAGCCACCGCTCTTGGTGCTGAGATAAACAGGTAGTTAGGGGCAGTTGCGGTCTCCGGTGATGTCAGCTCGATGAAGCCAAAGGGGGAGACCGACTGCTGGTGCCCCACAGTGGTGTCAAAAGCACTGGTTGAGGTAAAGCAGTACGGCGAAGTGGCACCTGGCAACCTTGCTTGCTCTACCCAGAAAGCTGCTGTGTTCCTGCCTGACAATCCTACAAAGCTGCGACGAAAAGGGAGGGGAAATTGCAATAACCAGCTATCAAAGCTTCATCTAAGGCAGTGCAGACAACGGGTTAAAAGCCCCTGGTGTTGCTAGTGAGTGCAAGGCAGACTGTGAAAGTGCATAATCGAAGCACCGCACCCAGTCATTCCAGGGTAAAGGTCATGTTGGCTGCTATCGAGGTTGAGCCACGGGCAACTTTACCAGTTGGACGGAAGAGAAAATGGAACATAAATGTCCGTAATCTACAGGCCAGTTTAGAAAGAGTTAAGCATGTTGAGTTATACAAGCTGGAGCACAATACGTACACTGCAGTTACTTCAGCGTTGTCTGTTATCGTGAGCGCCGTCAAAGTGGCTGGGGCTACACCGGCTGCTGTTCAAGTAATTTCAAAAACCGCTGGCTAAAGGCACACCTTCAAGGTGGTTCTTTCACGGATAGTAGCGTGATTTTCCATAACGTAGTAGAGGCCACTGCCGTACTGCTTATTGAACGCACGTTGGATGACCTACAGTGCTTGCAACATTGCGTATCGAAGCTTATTCTACCCTAAGTTTCCCGGTGGTACGTTGACAGCCTGCCGGACTTTTTCACTCTTTAGTAATATGGACAATTCCACCTCTAACCTGTCAACCCCCTGACCCACTCCATTTGTCCGCCAAAATTAGCTGGCTAAGTCAATCTCAGTGCATCAACTAATCCAGTCTTTTCCTATCGGTTGCTGCGCACCGAAGTTTCTCAGACTACTGTGACATTACCGGTTATTGTTCGGAAGTCTGAAAGCTCAATAACCCTTCACACGAAAGCCTCGTTGGCTTCTCCACACCATAACAGCAAATCTTTTCCTTCCCGATCCTGTCGTTTCCTTGCTGCGGTCTCTGTCTTCAATCCCACTTTAACCTGACAGCGGAATCTCGGTGATCTGCCCTGACATAGACTCATCTGACCAGTCTGCTTCTGTGATGTCTTCCAGACCACCGGGATGTTAACGGTCTAAGCTCTGTAAATTTAACGCAATGTCGCCCTCACCTCGACAACCTGCTGGACTTGTTCACCCTATGTTAATATTGCCACTTCCAATCCTGACCTATGCATTCCTACTGACGCCATTCCCCATCCCTTCTTAACTGTACGACTAAATCAAAACGCGTGGGCA